CGGAGAAGCGACGGGAGAGCGCGGCGGAGGCACGGTGCCCCAGTGAGGGTCCTGCGCCGCAGGCTTCGTACGCCGCGCCGCCGTACGGACTCCGGCAGCTTGCCATCAGTAGCTCGCTAATGGAAGTAGAAATTAAGCGAAGATCTGCCCAGTTTTATCCAGAGGTTTTTAGTCAGCTGAGCAGACAAGCGTAGCTGACAGGACAGTGGCTGGAGTTGGCCAGTGTGAAAGCAGAGGGATCGTCCCAGGTGGTGAAACACGATGCTGCATCGTGGAATTTTATACCCAATGTTTACAAAGTAAACTTGTATCGTTCATGTGTGCAACTGTATGTGTATATTTGTACTTGTTATGATGATTAAATGGTGCTTAAAATTGCCAGTTTGTTTGTGGAGATTTACTGTAGACTTAATTTTGCAGCAGGTATGCATATTTACTTTAATTAGAGCAGAGGTAGCAGAAAGCATCTCTAACAGAATAGTGATGTAAAGTTTTGGAATAATACATGCCACTTTTAACATTAGTCAGCGGTACTAACTTATATAAAGAGAAATGGTAAAGAGTTACAGATTAAAGGAGATGTATATAGTGTACTGCTAGAAATATGTTTATAGCCTAACACCATGACCATGATGCATACCAAACACTTTTCATCAGTGTGTATCTGTGTGTCTGATGATGCTCCTGTGAGTCTCACTGAGAAACATTTCCTTTCACCCACCAGTTTGAAAGCTAAGCCACTAATAACACTTATGTAACAGTACCTGATAGTTTTATATTTCTGTGGCACACAAGTGACGCTCTGCTGCACCCAGGGCAGGGATTTTCTCCCTGTGAAGTTATAATTTTTCAGCATTCAGCTTTTCCAGTGTCCTTGCATGGGTCCATGAACATTAACAGCAGTCCAGCTGTGACAGGCCTTTGTTATGGTTAAGCTGACATCACATCATCACCTCAGTGGATTTCCTAGGGGAGTTGAAACCCTGCACATGCTGTTGTGCTTGTGGCAAGCAGTGATGTATTTGGAAGGCGCGTGATTGTTGTTGCCAGCACAATATGTAGTGGTATGGCTGCTAGGAGACTGCAAAAGTGGTCATTGAGTATCTGAGGTCCTTCGTGTCTGCAGCACTGACATTTTTCTAGCAAGAATGATGCTGAAGCCCTTTCTGGGATGCTGTGGCCCCAAGCCTGGTATGACTTCAGAGACATTTACATTTTTGCAGAAGACCTTTCCCACTTTGGCCAAAATCCTGTATGAAAGCTCTGGTTTGACAGCAGACAGAAGAGACAAAATCTTTCTGTCTGCACTGAATTCAGCAGGGAATAGATTAATAATGAAAGATAGCATATAAATACATATATATATATATATATATATATATATATGTACAATTATATACACACACACACACACACACACACATATATATATATATATGTACAATTATGTAATGCTCATAAGAATATTAATTCCTCAGAAAATAAGTGACACAGTAAAAGTGTGGATGCAAAAATGAAATAACCACCCTGTTGGATTGTGACTACTGTTGATCTTGCTGCTACTTCAAGTTTTTCAGAATTACAAATATGTTTTCACCCACTTTTTCAGTGAACCTGCTATGGCATTTCCACTGATTACTTTTACTCATAGTGTTCTATGGTAAGAGGATCCTTGATTAATTTTGAGATGTAGTCTAAAAGTAGTAGAAAACGATCATAAATGTACTTTTAAGTCTATTTAATTTGAAGATCTGTTAATCAGAAGGCTGAAAATTGGCTAATGAGATCAAGAGGTTATAGCTAGAATTTGTGAAAGCCTTTTTTAATCAGCAATTTTGCTCATCCCTTGATCAAAAGACAATATCCAATACTGAGTGTCAGCATGGCATTTTCCTGCAGGGCTTGTTAGGGCTGTTCAATGGATCATAAAGAGAAAATATTGCCCATTCACAAGTCTGAGCTACTCTCCACATGCCAGTAGTATAAATGTTCTTGCTTTGATGTTCATTATCAAATTGTATGTAAACACAGGCAAACATTTGGTGTCATTTAATTGCTCTGGTCGCTGTTTTTGAAGCACACAGGTTTAGGCAACTGCCGCCTATATTCCATCACAAAGATGCAACTGATGTTCCTGCCAGTTTGCCACAGATCCTGTGTGGTGGCAGGCAGGCATTGAGGCGGCTCGGGCACTCATACATGGTGATCATGTAGAGACCAGACATGGCTATCAGCGACAACAACAGTACTAAACCACTCCTGTTGGCTCTTCAGCAACTGCAGAGAGGTTGAATTTCACTGACGTTCACTCCCTTGTTTTCCTGAATATTTTTCTAAATAAAAATACCCCTGTGTCTAACTTCAAGGAAAAGGCAAGCATTTTTCAGTCCTCTTCATATGACAGCAGCAGCACTCTTCATCTTTTCTAAACATTGACTTCTGGTCAGCAGCCATTATTTGCATTTTGCATTGCACAGCCTCAACAAACAACTAAAGATAATGAGGTCAAAAGAGGCTGTAGTTTGCTTTGGCACAACTATTTCATAGCTACAGTAAAATCAGTCTTAAAGTCTGACTTCCACCTAGCACCTGTTCAAACTCTGATAGCAAGTGACTATATCCAATATTTACTTTATATCTTAAATAAAATACTATGAAGAATAAATCAGTAGGAGCCTTCAAGGTTTTTCATGTGTTGGTAAAACACATGAAAACATTCATTTTTGGTAAAATTTCCAGATTTCTTATCTGGATAATGCAGCTAAAATTAGAACTCACTTGATAAAACAAGTCAACTTGGATTTTGAGTCTATTCTCTTTTTCACCCAGTAAATTGTTGTTGTGATTGCCCGTGAGAGTTATGATTTAAATCCAGCTGGAAGTTAAACTTCATGCAACTGATCCCTGTCCTCCAGTCCCTCACCCACACACTGGTGAGAGAGAGGAAGAGAAAGAGAGAGAGAGAAGGCAGAATTAGAGGTTGAGATAACAATTTACTGGAAACAACAATGAAATAAGAGAATGAAAAGTAACAGCAACAATACATACCAACAACAATATATAAAAGAGGGTGATTGCACAAAAAATGCTCATGGTGTCTGACTGAGCAGACCCAGTGTCATACAGCTTTCTCAGACAGAGACCAATACAGCACCCACAGCCCTTTCCTTCTTGGATGTGAGAATCCCTTGCTTTCCCTTACCTGGCAGATAAAAACTTAGGCACACCCACATGGCTCTGACAGAGACATCCACATGGCTCTGGCATATGTATATGTATATGTATATGTATATGTATATGTATATGTATATGTATATGTATATGTATATGTATATGTATACACACATATGTCTATCTATATAGATACAGAGATAAAAATGTACATGCAAAGGTATTATTTCTGTAGTCAATGGCCATACTTACAAGATGCCTGTTGAGTTTGTGTAGCCCATGATTGTGTGCTTTACCCTCCCTAGACATCTTCCAGAGCAGGAGGGCTTGTGTGCTGTTGGCTGGTTTAGTGCTGCATCAGCTCACAATTGGTGAACCTGGAGCATCCTTGTAGCCCATGGTAGTTATGGCATACAGTGGCAGTGTCATTCTGCCAGCAATGTTACACAATTCAATATTACAGACTGTTCTCCCCCCAAAATCAAACCTCCTTGAGGTAACAATCATATTTCCATCCTTCTGCATTACCCACCAGCTGCATCCACGTCCTTAAGCAAAAACAATTCCATGGATGTATTTGCCTTTGCTTGAGGCAGGACTAATCCAAAATGTCTTCCCTAAGGGGTATCCACTGGTTGTTTCCACTCTAAACACATAAAGCTTGCCTTGGTGGGTTTGTGGTAGTGTGATGTAACCAATCTGCCACAGTCTGGGGTAACCAGGGAGTGTCCATGGTTAAGTGCACCCATCAATCACAGATGTTGCATCTCTTCCCTGGAGATCTGGGGCATCGTGGGTACATTGAGGCAGAAATAATTCACCCTTTTGTTGCCAGTCCAGATCCACCTGAGGCACTTCAACTTTGGCACCTCGATCCACCTCTCCATTGTTTTGAAGAC